GCAATCACTTTTTCACACAGGACCATGATGGTTTGGATTTTTTTCTCCTTTAATAATAAATACCTTCATTTACAAATTGCATTTTGTGTTTACTTGTGTTGTCCTTGAATATTGTTTAAATTGGTTTGATGTTCCGAAACACTTAAGTGTGACAAACGTGCAAAAAAACAGCAAATGAGGAAGGGGGCAAACACTTTTTCACACCACTGTAGGTTGTTTTTTGAATCATATGAACATTTTAATTACTTTACAGGGGCCTCATGTATAAACGGTAAGCGGTAAAAATTTGCGTGCGCCAAGTTCTACGCCCACATTGTGATGTATAAAAACCAACGTTGCTTGAAAGTGTGCGTATATTTACGCACACTTTTCACCTGCCGTGAGAAAGTGCGGCAGCCAAGCAAAGTTTTTCAGCTGACAGTTTTAACTCACAAAGTCACGAAGCTGACCTGAATCCACAGAAATATGACTTTGTTGTGTTTTCTGGATGTAAGGAGCGCCTGAACACAGTGTCAGATTTCTTTTGAGTTTGAGTTTTTATTGTTTAAACTCGAACGATCATGAAACTGAACCCCGGGACTGAAAATCATTTAACCTCAGATAAGAAAATAGATCAGTCTAAAAATGATCAAAAGAACCTCAGCCCAGTCTGTAAACTGGTTTTATTTTTGTCACATAGTTGAAAACCTTTTGGGTCCCGGGCCAGAAAAACCCAACACATTACATGCGGCACAAAATAAGTAAATAAAATAAAAAAAGGCTGAAGAGAGGGAGCAAAATCAGATGCAAATGGTGGCTCACTGTACGGTAAGAATAATTGTTTTTTTCTGTGTGTAACCTTCTGGCTGAAGCTGAGTTGAGTTGTGGCCGGAGCGCAGCAGCTGCGCTTTGGGTAGATTCTCATGCCAAGCGCGCACGCACCCTCGCCAGCTGGGAACGTGGTCATATGTGTCAACCCCTTTGGACATTTACCTGTCTAATGAGCCTCAAAAATCTATATTTTTTTGCTAAAAATCCGTAAGCTACCACTCGTACCCGCATGTGGCAGTGGGGTGTGGGTCCGTGGAGATGACAGCGCCTGCTGTAACGCAGGAGGAAAGGAGAGAGGAAAAAGTGGATAACGGGATGGTTTTTTTTTTGTTTGTTTGCTTTTAGTTTAGTTTAGTTTTTTAACGTCCGTTCAACGCTGTGTTCAACTAAATATACAACAACTAACCAGGCTTTAATATCACATTCGGGAAATGTCTGTAATTTTCAGGAAAATCTCAGGCTTTGGTTATCCCGTGCGAATGCTCCACATAAAACAATGACACTCCACTACTTATTTAGACAGTTTAATCACTTATTCTCCATTTAATTTATATTTTCCCTGCATCTAAAAATCATTTCTGATCCCACAGAGAGAAATCTGAGGAGAATCTCACACGCTGGACACATTTACATCTATTTTACATATTTAAATGGAGGCGTGTCAGGGGAGGTTTCTCACGTGTGCTAAGTTCCACGTTCATTGGGATGTATAAAGGAAAGGTGCGCAGGAACATGCGTACGCATGGATTTATACATCTGAATATTTTGGTGCGGCGCACATTTCTAAATTTGTCCGTACGTCAAATTTTAGTGTGAAAGCTGCGCAGTCCTTTATGCGTGAGGCCCCAGAGCTTTAAAAAAGAACACTGTGGATTTGTACTTGTATACTACACAAATGTTTTCATTTTTGTCTTTTTTCAGACTTACAGTGAGAAAAAACTTTCCTTAATTTTAAATCTACGTGAACAACTACTTAATCAATTGGAAAACGTTGATAAGCTTGTAAGTTTGAAGCAGTAATATGGTTATTTTGTTTGCACCTACCGTAGTATATGCCATATTTAAATGTTTAATGTAATTTTGCACAGTTTTCTTTATGTTGACCTTTTTATGTTCCTCTGTTAAGCTGAAGTCACTGCCTTCAGARGGTGATTGGCAGGTGGGTTAAAAGTTTTACCTTGTGGTCTAACTTCTGWTTAACTTTTCATARKTATGGTTAATAACAAAACTCACCACTTAATGAAAATATGTTTCACCTTCCTGTTGAAGATGGATTCCAGTGATGAAGAACAAAATAAGCTGCAAGAAGATGAGGTAACTGACAAAACACCAAATTTCTAAGAGCCATTTTGTCTTTTCTGGTAATTTGTTGATTCTTTTCTATGGCTTGTAATGATTACTTTAACTCATAATGTGTTGACTGTCGTACAGTTTCAGTAACCAACCAAATTAAA